CTCAATCTCGGCGCCCTTCTCGACATTGGAACTGTTGAGCGCCACCTCCACCTCGTCCAGCTCGTCCAGCGGTAGGTTCGGGTCGAGTCGATGCATCTTTTCGAACTGTTTGAGCGAGCTCAGCGAGTCGGCGCCTTCTAGAGAGCCATCATCCAGATCGGGCACCACGTCCTCGTCGTGTCGGCGGCGGCGGAACAACCTCGAGAGCATGGTGTCGACGAGGCTGGCAGTCGGAGGTGTCCGCTGCAACGGGGGGACCGGGAAACAGGAACAGGAGGCACAGGCAGCGCGCGGCGGGATGGGAGCGCCTCGGTTAAAAGAGGATCGCTCAGCAAACAGCGGGCTGCGGACGCGAGTTAAGACAGGGGCGCGATTAATATATATTGCGGGTCATGGCCGTGAGTGTCGATGTGGGCGAGGACGAGTGCGGTCAGGCGAGTTCTGGCCGGATCGCAGCCGGGTCCTGGGGATGGATGTGAGTGATGGGCGCTGGGACGAGGGCGACGGGCGCACCAAGCAGCGGGCGGCCAGTGGTTTTTCTGGCTCAGCACTCAACTTGTCGCTGGTTGGGCGACCACCCACTCACCAGTGACCGCCGTGCTGGGGCCAAGCGATTGCGGGCCAAAATGAGGAGGGGTCCCGTTTCTGGAAGCAACTGGGTATCGCGGAAGATGCAGCCCCAGCACTTGCTGACCTGCCTAAATTGGACTGATGGCTGGTATTGTGCATGCGTCCAAGTCCCCGGCCCACGACAGGGGGGAAGGAAATCTCGAAGCGGGGGACCGCCCGCCAAGCCCTGGGCCCACCCAGCACCTGCGCATCTGGCCTCGCGCGCCGTTGCAGATGCGATTCCTCGTCAATTCATCAATTCCCAATTCCCGGATGCTGTTGTCGGAGTCGTTATCGCGCGCCGAGACGGCCATCCAGTCGACTACGGATAGCTGCTCGTGCTTACGGCATGGTTGGTAGTGTGCATACCTAAGGTACTGTGTAGGCTGCCATTCGTCGACGGCCTCCTCTCGCAAGCGATGATGGGATGGATGTTGGCGGGCGGCTTGATTGCGCGCGCCGCCGCCGCAAGGGGGTGTACTCCAAAATCGAACCAGCTGCCAGGACAGCGTGAGCATCCCGAGGGCGACCGAGAGCGTTGCTGGCGAGCCTGCCGTGGCTGCGAAGGCTTGCCACTCAACCACTATGCTGCGTCGCAATATCGCCGGCCAATCGCGCGGGGCCGCTGGCCTGTCGGCAATATCGGCGACCCATCATGTTCTCTTATCTCCCGCCCCCTTTTGCGACGCCGTTTCCTGGGCAGGCGAAGGCAGCTCTTGGAGAGATGACTGACTCGAAGGCTTCAAATACGCTTCACACGTTTTTGCGTGTGTCGCTGACTGTCTTTCGAAAACGCTGGTGAAGTTTTGGATCAGTGTGGTCGTGAACATCGGAGCAGCTTCACCAATGTTCCCTTTTGGTCGGCGACGGAGCGTCGTCTGGATGCTTGGATTTGGGAACCGCAGTGTTGCATCCGGAGCCACCCCACTGATTAAGTCCAAGTGGAACGCCACGGAGCCTTGCGACATGTGGGCAGATTTGAGGGAGAGAGACTCTGCGGCTTGATCTGAATCTACACAGCGTCGGGGGGGTCTGTGCCTGGCTGTATGGATGAGGAAGTTCCCTTTGTCTACGGATTACATACTCCTGAGCCTCTCAGTCCTCAGCAAGACAGACATGCACCAAATCCCACGCTTTCTGGGGGCTGTGCCATGTGCTCGCCATACACAGTAGACCACGGCGTTGCATCCAGACTTCCCCCTGCCAAGCCGTGGGGAGACACATCTGGCCAGCAGCCACCTTTAGCCAGCGACCACCGACGAAGACGACATGCAGAAGCGATGCACACTCGCGACCAAGCACGTATCTGCACGAGCCCCAAGGACTCGTTCTCTCCTCGGGGCACCGCTTGGTCCTTGCCGTGCTGCGGTGGTGGTGGCTGTAAAAAAAGAACAGAGAACCGGTTCGGCCCGAGGCTTTCAGCTTGGTCTGAATCCGGGGCATGTTCATCTCTCTTCAACCATGTTAGCCCTACCGAGACCTCTTTTTTCTCTACGACCACTGTTGTAGAGTGTGTCTCATAAACCGTCGCTATTTCTGAAGAAACAAAGAAGACAGCAGGTCGCCAGCAGGCCCAATCTGAATCGACTCTCCTCAGCCGTCCTGCACCCGACATCCCAAGCTGAGAGAGAGAGAGAGAGAGAGAGCTTCTCGGTTGTGACACCCCAGAACCCAGGAGTCTGGATTCACCGAACCAGCCTCGAGGCAATGTCTTGCTTGATGATCCGGGGTACGGGGGCAAAGAAAGACATAGGGATGGGATGAATATGGATGCCACGCCGCCCCGACCGAGACCGACATGTATGTGTACGCCGTCGGCCGGGTTCATCTATCCTCATGGTGTATGCATGGCTGGGTCCACTTTTTTCTCGTCTCTTGACTTCCCCGGGCCCGGGTTTTTCCAGCTGACTACTGTATAAGAAAAGGGAACAGGTGCGTGTGTGTGCCTCGCTGTGTGGCGATCCGGGCCCGGGTCAATAACGTGATCGACGAGCAATGAGTTCCCGGCCCCGGCGGTAGGTACCGGTAGCGGGGGGGCTTGGGTGGTGTTGTCCTAGAGTACCTAACGGCACGGCGGCCGGACGGGACAGAAACAGTACAAGACCAGACGGGACCAAAATAGCAACGCATTTATATTGCTCGCCCTTCCGGCTATATGCAAAAATATATTAACTCGGTGCGACCGCAACGCAACGCACACACGAGAGGGAGAGAGACGGAAGGGAAGAGAAACGGGAAAGAGAACAGGTGGGCAGAGAGAGAGTTCAAACCTGGTCTCACAGCTGTGTGTCTCGCTCAATATTATCAGGACCCGAATATAACTGCACGCCTGACTGCGTCGTCGTCTGGCTGGCTACGACATTGCGCGACTGTGGAGATGATGGGTCATTTCGTCATTTTGTTTTTATGGGAGAACGGAAAATGCCTTGATCAAGAATTGTCAGGCAACGGTCGTCGGTCGGCAGCTGTTAGTCGGTCCCAGAATAAAATACCGGAACCAACAAACACCCATCACTACTTACTTCATCACCATATCGATATTCGCCATGACCTGAGCCCCTGAGCCTAGAGTAGGTACCTAGGTTAGTCCGTCCTTTTGTTCATCCCCTCGCCACTCCGCCCCAACAACCCCCTCTCCCGTCCCGAGCATCTCTAGGTAGGTAGATACTCTCCTGTCCAGATGGGAGGAGGAGGAGGTTGTCACCCAATCTATGTATTCCAACCTTAAGTCACGCAGCCAGCTAGACTCTGTATATTACGTCCAGCCCATCACCCGCACAGGGCAGAAGCAATATATGTATATACCTTGTGGTCTACAAACGCGCCACGCACGAATGAGGAACTGCAGACACACACACGCTCTTCCGGGGCTCGGTTGCGCTGTGATCCGATTACCGATCTTTATTTCAACAAACCACACGTCAGGGCTGTCTGGCGGTGGTCCTTTTGAGGAAACGGTTCTTGAGGATGGGCGAGATCCCCTGAGGGTTCAACCCTGTTGCTGCACACAGGTCATCTGGTACTCAACCACTTGGTACTTGGTGTAGGGCCTCGCGAACCATAGATAGGAGGCCATGAAAACGAAGGAAGGGTTCGACGGAAGTGCCATTTCGCTGAGGAGATACGCAAAGGTAGGTAGACCATCCCGGACCAGGCCGGGCCGGGCCCGACTAGCTCTCCTGATCTACAAGAGAAAGTACAATATTTGCCTCGTAACCGCGTGCAAAATAAGAGTCGGTATTTTGCCTCCATAAACCATCACGGAACGAGGCGAAAGGGGACCGCAGCCCCATTCTCGATATGAAAGCGTCTATTGTGTACCTACATCGGGACCCGGACCCGGACAGCGGACTCACTTACTCACTCGCTCACGAGCCGCAATATCCATTGCCTGGTTTAACACCACACGGGAAAAGAATTGTCCCTACGTATAGACTCTGCCCTCAAAACGGCTTTTCTGTTCGCCACGCTCGAAAAAAACACAGTCGGATTGGTTCCCGACGGGACGGGTCTCTTTTGCCTACTTCCAGTTTAAAAGTTTCTCTTTTTTTTCTGTCCTCTCGGATATGTTCTCCGTGGTGTGATGTTGATTTCGGCTGGGCTGGATCCAGTCGGTCTTTCCCCTTTCCGGGTAGTTTGTTTGCTTCGCATACCGCGCGGGGGGGGGGGGGGGGGGGGGGGGGGGGGGTTATTTAAAAAAATTATTAGGGGGATGGAAAAGAAAACAAAGTATGTTTAATTCGAATTTTTTTAAATTAAAATTTATCGTTTTGGAAACTGG